CTCAGTGCCAGGCGCGGGCGGACGTCCTGTCCGCCCGAGCAACCCTGCCCGAAGGTGCCGGCAGGAGGAGGTGCAGACTCGGAGGGCACAGGGACCTGGCAAGGTGGCCCAGCCTTGGGGACACACTCGGACGCCAGGCCTGTCCCTGCCCCATGTCTGAGCTCCGTACACCGCCTGGCCAGCCCCACGTCCTGCGCCAGGCAGCCTCCGACCTCAGACCTGAGTGCCCGCCGGGAGGCCCTTCCGGCCCCAGCCCCTCCTCTGCTCTGCACCCCTCCCCCGCCCCCGCCAAGTTCCCTCTGAGCCTGCAGAATGTGGAACCCCAGCCTGGGCCCAGGTGGGCACTGGCGGCCACCAAGCAGGCCCTGCGGCCAGTGAACTGGCCTCCTCTTTCGGAAAGGCGGGCAAGCTGAGCCCAACAAACGGCCAGGGCTGGCTTCCAGCACCGTTAATGATTAACGCCACCGTGCAGGTGCCGCCAAAGCCTCCGGAAAGTTCTTGGGGCCCTGGGAAGGCACTGGCGGGAGGGCGGGCACAGGTGGCACCAAGCCGAGTTTCGGAGTCTAGCCCCTGTCCACGCACCCCCAGGACCCTCCGTCGACCCCCCTTCTGAGCCACACCAGACCTCCTGTGTCCCCCAACCACAGTGGATGCTGACCACAGGGGGCGCTGTCACCTGCAGGGGGAAACTGAGGCACAGAGAAGGGGCTTGCCCGGGTCTGACGGCCACGGCGGCGGCCGAGGCTTGCGTCCGGGCTCGAGGGCGGGAGGGCGGGAGGGGAGCAGCTGGGGTCTGTGCCTGTCGTGCTGCAGGGCGGAAGAGCTGGGGCAGGCGAGAGGAAGGGGGGGGTCCTGGACCCCTGGGACCAGAAACCCCTCACCAGCCAGGGAAGGGGTGAGGACCCTGGGGCAGTCTTGGTCCCGCCCTCCATGGGGGGGTCGTGTTGCAGCCCAGCAGCCAGGGTGAGACGCTGGGGGAGCCCCGGCATCTCCCCTGCCCGACCCACCCACGGCTCACCACGTGCTCCACTGGGGTGGGAGCCGCCACACAGCGGGGACACGAAGGCCTCAGGAGAGGACGGGGGCAGGGAGCCCGGCGGACAGGACAGTGGCCAGGGCAGCAGCGTCCTGCCCCCTGACCCCGGCAGACAGGGCCGGCCAGGCGCGTACGGGATGGGCCAGGGGTTCCCCGTCGGGGATAGGACAGGATGTCCTGCTGGCTTCGCCGACTGCGGCTCCCACCTCGACCCGCCCCCTCGAGGCCAGGCCTGGCCTTCGCGCCCGGAAACCAAGCCGGACCCCGGCGGGTGACACACTTCACAACCCGCTCGCCAAGGACAGGGCTCTCTCCGCGGCTGTCTGAGCCGCTGCCAGGAGAAACGCCGGGGCCACAGCGCCTGCCACGCGCCCCCCCTCACATCCGACCACTCGGCCGAGGCCACCCCTGCCGTCCCAGCTCTGCTGACCTCCTGGAGGTGAGGGGGCCACCTGCCCGGGCCCCAGACGAGCGGCTCGCCCAGCCTGGCCGGGGTCCACCTCTACCTACAAGGGAGGGCTGCGCAGGCATCCACTCCCCGAGGCCACAGCACGGCTGTCACGGGACGGGGCCCGGGGTGGGAAGAGACCGACCCAAGGTCACGCCATCCCGTTCCCCGGGCGCCACACGGAGGCTGCTCGGCCCCCGTCTCAAAAGCCACCCTGCCCTGCCAGCTCCTGGGAGGCTGGGCGAAGGCAGACCGCGCCGAGCCGACTTCCGAGAGCTAAACAATCAGAATCAGGAAGAAAACACAGTGTAAGCAGAGACTTCCTCTGGGCGGCGAGCCCTCCTCCTCCGCCCGGCACCGCTGCGGCACGGAGCTGGTGACACTCGCCGGCTGGCCTGCATCCCCGGGACGCGGATCAGAGGGGTGTCTGCCCACAGCCCTCCAGGACGAGGCACCGCGGTGCCGCCGGGCAGTCCTCTGCCCGTGCCTCCCCCACCTCTGCCAGGAGCAGGCGGCGGCTGGGCAGGGTCCCCTCCAGGCCCCGACTGTGGAGTCCACCCTACCCCTGGGCATCTCGCGAGTCTGGGGTCCAGCAGGTGAGGGCGGGGAGGCAGGGAGCCCATGCACACAGCGGCACCCACAAGCCTGGCATTGGCTGGTGTTTGCGGAGCGGCACCGGACACAGGTGGGGTCCTTTGAGGTCACTGCACACGAACACCCTGAGACAAGCCACTTGGGCTGCAGCTGTGGTCAGGACCGCCCTGCCACACACCCGCGACAGCCACGGCTCAGGTGCCCTCTGAGGCTTCGGGAGGGTGGGGGCTGGGGCGGGGAGAGGCTTGCAGACAGTGGCCCATTCACGTTTTTAGGGACATCGCTTTTCTGTCCCTCTTGCTACGGAAGGCCTGCCCCGCTCAGCAGGGTGGGGCAGCAGGCCTGGCACCACCCGCGCTCCCAGAGCTGAGGCTGCCCCGCCTGCTGGCTCACCTGCCCAAGGCCGAACGATGCTCCAAGCCCACGGCCTGGCTCCCGGTGCACCCCTGGGGACCCCTGGTGAAAGGAAACAGGGCCCTGGACACCCCCAGAGCTCCCCCAGCCCCAGGCCAGCTGAGGCAGCAGGGATGAGCATGCCACTAGGAAGCCAGAGGAGCCCCCAAGATCAGCATGGGACGACCGAGTGGAGGCTCACAGAACAGAGGCTGGCACTGTACCAAAAGGCCCTGGCAGGGCGGCCAGGAAGTAGAGCCACGGGACAGCAGTGGGGGCAGGCCCCGGGCAGGGCGGCCCGGGGTAACTTCCTCGTGCCCCTGTCCCTGGGCACCCGGGCGCCCCGCCCTGCCCCACGCGGGCGTGCCACCTGGGGGCTGGAGCCACCTGGGTAACAGCCGGGGCCAGGTGCTGCCCACAGGGCCCTGCTCTCTCCTGATTGACAGCTGGCAGCTCGGGCCCAATCCCTCCCCTCCACGTGCTGCTCCAGGCTCCTCTGCTTCGGCCCAGGTTTTGGTGAGCTTGACTCTGGGAGGGCACTACGCTGACTGCTCAGGGGTCACCGCCAGCCTGCCAGCCCCCAGGGCAGCCTTGCCCCTGCCGCCCAGGAGACTGCCCCCACCGGGCCTGCCTGGACCTGGAAGGTCTGGGATGTTGCTGCCCCAGGAGCTTGGGGACTCCTGCCAGCGGCCCTGGGGACTTCTGTCCCCTGCACCCAAAGGCGTGCTCCCTGGCCCACGTTGCTGAAGGATCGGCACCTGGACCGCCCCTCCAGGGGGGAGTGGCGCCAACTCCTGGCTGGGCGCCCCTCCCCAGCTGGCTCCCCCTGACCCACACACACACACACACAGGCCTGGGCCAGGCCAGCGGGGAGTTTCCCATCTCAGCCTCAGGTGACCCTCACGGGGTCAGACCCCAAAGTCCCTGACTTCAAAGGACGGGCTCCGCGTAGGCAGCCGGCAGCAGGTGGCGCGTGCCCTGCGCTCCCGCAGCGCCTCCCCGGCCTGCAGAGAAAGCCCCTCGGCGGGCGGTACTCACACGGCGAAGTGGTAGACGAAGCACTTCCAGCCGGTGGGGCGCTCCAGGAAGTTGTAGACGCGGCCCTGGATGTGGGTGCGCGCGAGCAGCGGGCGGCGCGCGCTGTAGATGGAGACGCGCGGG